AAAATAACAATAATCTATATACATATATAATGTATAATAATTGAAATGTGATTGTATTTTACTAGTCTACTAAAACACAGCCTAGACAGGTTACTTTGTACAGACCAAAGGTTGGTTTTATGTTATTTGATACAGTAACATAAGTGCATGTGTGCTGCATCATTGTAACTTCTGTATTGTTAGCCAGGCATGACTGAAAGGTCAATATGATAAAAATAATAAATATATATAAATGTCTACTGTTATGAGATTTAAGCTATTTAGTCGAAACATTTATGTTTTAGTGTTATAATTTGTGTTCATTCTAGAATGAAAGAGGCATAATTTATATTCATTTCCTAATTTTTCATGGTTGTTGGGAGATCAGTCCAATCTACTGAACCTGTACAGAGATTAATTACTGAAAATAATAGATAAAATATAAAGTTTTTTCTTAAGAAACATTTGATAACTATCTGGGTATTATATAGATTTTACATGTGAAATTTGAAAATTCTATGATGCATAAAAGTATTTTTAATCTTAAAATGAAAAGTACTTTGCATGATAGATAGACAACATGCGAAAAGAAAAAAGGCACGAGAAAAACAGTGCTTTACAAACCTTAAGACTTAATAAAGAAAAATTGATATTTTGCATTGTAATGTTTACTGATAATCTGCCAAATGTCGTTAACATTTGCTTACTAATTTAAAAGTTATAGCTTGAAAACTATAACAAGCACAAAATGGTTACGAGGTTGGTCCCGGGGACCGAGCCCTTGCTCTAAGAGTTAATGTGGTTTTGTCTGTTAGAAAAGATCTTCATTTTGTGACATATTTTGTCCCCTCTCCATTCCTCAAACTTTGTCCAAAATGTTTTTTATACTTGCACCACATATATTCCTATCTAGTAATTTTGGTGATCATTTAAAAAAATTTCACTGCTTGTTTCCATTTTCCTATTTATGAATGGTTTTGATTTTTTTCTTAAAATGTTTAATGTCAAAATAGATTCTACCAACTGAGATTATATTTTTATTATCTCCACCCATTAATAAGTTGATTGATAAAACGTTATTTCAGTAGGTCTGTCTGATTCACTATCAATATTTAAAATGCCTTCTTTCACCTATAAATTATTGAGTTTAGGCGTTAGTATAAAACTCACGAGTCTGAAGAAATGACAGTAAATGATACTCGTGTCGTATGCACTTTTTGATTCACAACTATACCAGTAGAGAAGTTTATGAACATGTTTGAACAGATTGTAATTCATGTCTGTGCAGTTTTAACCAGTAGAGAAGTTTATGAACATGTTTGAACAGATTGTAATTCATGTCTGTTCAGTTTTAACCAGTAGAGAAGTTTATGAACATGTTTGAACAGATTGTAATTCATGTCTGTGCAGTTTTACAATTCAAGTTTTCAAAAATCTTCTTATCTTTATGGTTCCTAAAATAATCTTTCTGAAGTTCTCCAGTAAAAAATTAACTTGTAGGAAGTTTGGTTTATTTAATATAAAATGGTGGGTATTAATGTGTTTTCAAAGGGATAATTTAAAGTATACTATGCCTAATCATTTCTTGGTAGATACGTTCATTTTCAGAGGGTTTGGACCATACTAGGTGAAATTAACCCACCGCAGAGGATTGACACACAAAAAGTACAATAATTTTTGGAGACTAGATATTACTAAAATTTATCATTGTTGTTTAAAAACTCAAAGGTTGAAGTTAAAAACTGGTACTGGCAGTAATATTATAATCCACCTCTCCCCCTTTTTTTTTTAGCTTAAAAGATTAAAAAAGGTGAACCATTTGAGTAGACTGTTAGTCCGTTTTAAATACTGCTTGTTTAGATGTTAGTCAGTGGTTGTTATTACTTTGTTTTACATTTGTTTTGAGGTTGGCGTAATCAAATGATGAATCCAGTTTAATCAGTTTTTTATTTATTAGGCTTACCGAAGGCTTGCTAAAGAATATCATCCTGATAAAAACCCAGAAGAAGGAGAAAAAGTAAGAACCTTATTTTGCTGTAGTGTCAATTAATATTTTTGTCTTAGAGAACTAATTTTCCATTCGATCATTGGCCTTTTTATATTATGAGGTAGCACATTTGGTGCATTCTGAGCAAAGAAATAACTGTTTCATCCTTGTTCTTTGAAGTCATATTAAAATACCTTGTGGGATGTATTGTGTTTAATATATTGATTACACTTTTTCTAAAGACATTTTTGATTATATAGATGAAAATGTCAGTATTTTCAGGAAAAAATCAGTTTAATAAAAAAGGTATTCTAGTTTTTGACAAGTCCTTTTTTTTTTTCTGGTGTACATAAAAACACACACACACACACAGACACAGTTTACAAAGCTCCTTTTTAGTCGTAGATAATGATTCATTCAGGTTAACATAAGGATTTTCCAACTGTTGTAGCAAATAGAGCTTAAAAAAATTCATCAATTGTTTCAATGTAACATCATTAGCATTACGTGCCTCAAGAAAAAAAATATTTTTTTATACATTCAGGCTAAAGATAGGATTTCTTAAGTGTGTATCTGCAGTAGTAAAACTGTTATCCTGTCAAAAGGATAAATCATCTCTTCTCATGAAGATATTTTATTTTCAAAAGATAATTTCCTTATTTTAAAATAAAAATAAATGTAGTATTTGTTTCTAAGTAATGTGTGTGTTTTTATATATAAAAACCAAAACTGACACCACTCAAAAGTGTTGGGGATATTCCATCTATGAGACATAATCCAAAGTGGGAGTTTGGAATTGATTGCTTTGACCCACAGCATCTCAGCTGCTACTGACTTAGCTGTCTGCAGCCAGTTTTGGGAAGGCAGTCACTGTCAGATATATATATGACCATTTTATTTAAAGTTAATACAACAGTATTATTTAGTTTATATTGTGCGATCATTAAAGTAAGTTATTTTTTATAACGAGATGATAAGCTGGCAGAACAGTATATGAAAGCTCATACAGGGAGTATAACTGGCAAGTCCAAGAATAACCAGTTAAAGCTGAAACAAGGAGTGGCTGACCAGAAACAGGATACCACCAAAGGTGAGAAGAATTTAACAGACAGAAGGGAGAATAGATGCTATGCTTGTTTTAAAATGGGGCAACAAGCAGCTGGAGTTACCCATAAAAATGTGACTGTCACCATAGATGCCTCTGCTAGAAGAAACATAATCAAGACAACACATCAGATTCACCACAAGAAGGAAGTGCTATCTCCATGATTAAACAGTACATGACTGATGGTCAGCTCAAGTCAGTGAATGGGTCAACAGTGCCAGTAGGTGAAGTCTATGTTGGGGACAAAAAAGTGAAGGTACTACAAGACACTGGGTGCAGCACTGAGAACCAGTCTAGTTTGATCAGATGATGGGCAAGACATGTCTTTGTGTGCTGATTGATGGGACAGTGAGAAAGTTTCCCATAGCAAGAATACAGTTGGACACTCCATACTATGTGGGAGACCTTGAGGCCATGTGTATGAAGTTGTCCATCTATGACTTTGTAATTGGAAATGTATCAGGCAGTAGAAGTTTGAGGAACTAGACAGAAATAAGACTGATGAAACATCTGTAGTCACCACTAGAGCTCAGGAAAAGAAAAGCAAGCAAGAAATCAAGCCCCTGTAAGTCTTGATAGGTGACATCCCAAATGTAGGTTTACAGGAACTAACGGAAGGATAGAGGAAAGACTCTTCACTGCAGGAAGTTTGGACAGTGCACAAGACAAAGGGGAAAGTAATTACAGAATAGAGGACCAGAAGGGAGTGCTATACCAGATCTATCAAGTTAGTTATACTGGGGAAGTTGAACAGCTCATAGTACCAACAGAATACCAGACTCATGTGAGGGAGCTGGCTCAATTGTGAGTGGACACCTAGGAGCAAAGAAGACAGAGAAAAAAAAATCACCAGCAACTTCCATTGGCTGGGGGCCATTGGAGATGTGACCAGATTTTGCAAGTCATGGAAAATCTGCCAATAGACAATACCTAGAGGGAAGGTAGCCAAGGTGCAAGTGGGAGAGATGCCTCTCATAGAAGATTGGACCACTAACATCTGTATCTGACAAGGGCAACTGGTACGTGTTGACAGTAGTCGAATATGTGACAAGGAAACCATAACATTGCCAATAATAGAGATGGAGAGAGTAGCAGAAGCCCTTCTGGAAGTGTTTTGCAGAGTAGGCTTTCCGAAAGAAGTCCTGAATGACCTAGTTTACTTCAGAACTAATGCAAGAGATGTGCAGACTCATCAGTACAAGGCAACTCTTTACCACCCTATACAACCTTAGATGTAATGGACTTTGTGAGAGAGTCGGTGGAGTTATAAAGAGCATGCTGTAAAAGATGTGCTAGGAGAGACCACTGGGACAGGTACCCGCAGGCAGTATTATATACTTACTGAGGAGTCCCACAAGCAAGAACAGGTTTTATAACCCTTCAAGTTGCTGTACGGAAGAACAGTATGACATCCAATGCAAATATTGAAAGAACTGTGGACAAGAGAAGTCAGAAGTAAGAAACACATACCAGTATGTGTTAGACCTCAGAAACTGGCTGGAGGAGACATGTCAACTTATTCATTAGTGTTTGTATGCATCCCAAGGTATTCAGAAGCACTTCTGTGACAAGAAGGCCGAGGATCAACATTTCAAGGTTGGACAGAAGGTCTTAGTTCTGCTACCAACAGACAACAATACACTCACCCTGCAATGGAAAGGACCTTTTGAAGTGCAGGAAGTGGTCAACAAAAAGGACTAAGGTGAAAGTGGATGGGAAGAGAAAGATCTACCACACCAGTCTGTTGAAGAGGTACTTTGAGAGGAAAGAAGACCTATCAGGTGTAGATATTGAGACACAGATGTATATTGCAGGTTGGCTGTCACAGACGCAGAACTAGAAGACGGTGACTTGGTCATAGAAGATGAAGACATATTGGACCTAATACTGCTGAGTGGAGATGAGGCATACGAGGAAGTCAACATAAGTGAAGAACTGGCTAGTAAGCAGAAGAAAGAAGTACAATAGCTACAGTGCCAGTATGCACATGTCTTCACAGACAGACCAGACAAGACAGATCTTGTGTAACACAAGATCAAGATGATGACCAGGGATCCAGTGAAGGTGAAGCCTATCAGATACCCTGTGCGATGAAAGACCAACAAGGGAACTGCAAATGTTGGTGCAGACTATATGAGGAGACTTTGTTTATGAACTGAAAACGGTCTTTGTATATAGTGTAAAACAATATTGTAAATATTTTTCACAGACACCTTATTATAAAGAATTGTGGTCCTTATAAAACCTGACTGTCACCCTAATATTTTGACATAAAAGGCAGTTATTGAAATAACCTTATTGTAGATTTATAGTATGGAGTATTAAAACTGTTTACTTTCATGTTATTATGTTGTTTTTTCAGTTCAAAGAGATATCATTTGCTTATGAAGTTTTGTCAGATTCAAACAAGAGAGAGATTTATGACATGCATGGAATCAAAGGCTTACAAGAAGGTCGGCATGAAGGTGAGTCGCAATCGATATGATTCACAACAGTTTTAGACAATTTTCTGGCATTAACAGATAACCATTAAATTTTTTGGTGAGCTGCATGTGACATGCTTCATAACAGTTTTAGACAATTTTCTGGCATTAACAGATAACCATTAATTTTTTTATTGAGCTACATTCGACATGATTCACAACAGTTTTAGACAATTTTCTGGCATTAACAGATAACCATTAATTTTTTTTTATTGAGCTACATTCGACATGATTCACAACAGTTTTAGACAATTTTCTGGCATTAAAACATAACTATTAATTTTTTTATTAACTTTAGTGTAAATTCAGTGAGTAATAATTCATTCATGGCTTATATAATGCAGTGTGATTTGTGAAACAAACTTATTAATTTGGGAGAAATATAGTTTATTTATTTGAGAACCTTTATGTAGTTGAAGCTATTCCCAATAACTGGTGAACTACCATACTGTTTATCAGAAGAGGGTAGGGATAGTGAAGTACAAATTAATATTTTGTTTGAAACAAACAATGTTAAGATATGTGAGTTAGTTATTCAAACAAAATATTGAATATTTTTTCCATCTGAAGTTTTTTTTTACCTCAGATCTCCTAAAAACATATGTTATTTTATATCACTTCAGTATTAAATGGGGTCAATAAAGTTTTATATAAAATTGAGGTAAGAAAGATCTCAGGTCTAAAATTGTTAAGGACAGAATTTTGTAGGACTCGCGAGCTAAGCCAATCGGCTTGAATAACTCAAAATTTGCTTAGTTTGTTTACTGCTGAAAGTGCCTAGTTTAAGTGATTCAACTATAGAAATGTTTATAATGTGGCACACATACGATTCTAATTTTTCTGAGGAAATGAAAGTTATAACTTCAAAGGAAGATGCACTACACGTAAAAACTTTAGAATCTATACTTAGTAATAAATGTAACATGCATGTGCTGCCATCTAGTTTCTCAGTATTTTTGCTTTATATAAAATATACGAAGTTTTTGTATTTGTTTGTTGTTAAACACACAGCTACACAAGTGATTACCTTTGCTCTGTCCACCGGGGGTATTGAATCCCTAGTTTTATCAACTAAGTGGGTAACATAGGACTACTTAAGCCTAATTTTTAATTGCGCCTATTTGTCGCAGATGTGCTAAGTTTCCAACTTCAAACAATCTAGTCCTCAGAAGGCATTTTAACCTTTAAAAAATTAATTACTTAATAATTTTTTTGAAATAAGCTTTGTATTGCTTTATGTAAATTAAGTTGTTTTAGTTGTTCCATGCTGACTTCTCTAGTATAATCTTACTATAACATCAACTCACTGTATTTATTATGACCATCATAGCACAAAAATTTAGTGCATTCAGAACTACATTTAAAACATCCTCCTACCTAGCATTACTATGTTGTGTTATATACTTCCTAGTCTTATCATAGAAACGTGTTATGTTTTGCAATTAAATTCGTAAACAATACAGTCCTTAAATGTGTAAAAGAAAAGAAAATTGAAGTATTATTAGAGGATTGAATGCACATTTTAAGTTTATTAGTAGACACCTCTCTTAATATCAGTTTGGTAGCATAAATTTATCAGTGCATGCCAACAAAATTAATGTAGATTAAAATCGGTTTTGAGAGTGAATAGCTTGTTGTGGCATTTTGTTACTGTTGAGAGTGAATAGCGTGTTGTGGCATTTTGTTACTGTTGACAGTGAATAGCTTGTTGTGGCATTTTGTTACTGTTGACAGTGAATAGCTTGTTGTGGCATTTTGTTACTGTTGACAGTGAATAGCTTGTTGTGGCATTTTGTTACTGTTGAGAGTGAATAGCGTGTTGTGGCATTTTGTTACTGTTGACAGTGAATAGCGTGTTGTGGCATTTTGTTACTGTTGACAGTGAATAGC